ATTTGAATCTACTAATCAGAGTATCCTGTGTTCATATTTAGAAAATTATGTTTTAGCTCTTCTAATTTGGAAATCAACTTAGAAATAAAATAATGAGGTTTATCTTCTCCCCTGAGTCCAAGGTGGTTACCGGCTCTTGAGAAATCACCAGTGACCCATCATGTCATAGGGGACAAGCAACAGTAACGTGCATGTCACGTAAATTTTGTGTGTGTGTGTGTGTATTTGTGTTGGGCGGTAGTTGATGAAATAATCAGCTCCTTCAACATTATCTCCAAAGGAAGCTTAGCAAGAATTACCAACTTAAAGATCCTATTTTTATGAAAATCCAGAAAGTGAGAAAAATATTAAGCAAGTCACTTTACTTTAGAAAGTTTCTTAACCTGAGGTTCATATTGTGGGCTTCAGGCCATTTGTAAATCTCCCTTGAAGTATCCAAAAATTTGTGTGAATTTACATATATATATATATATTTTGCAGAGAAGTTGGGTTGTTTTCTACAGATTCTTAAAATGATTCTTGCCTGAAAAAAAGGGTAAGAATTACTACCATAGGAAAGAAGGGGAGAAGGAAGGCAGGAGTAGACACAGAGAAAAAGAAAAGGAAGGAGAGGGACTAAAGAGAATCCGGGCGTCTTTCAATTGTGTCCAAACTCAAATACACCAAATGTGTATAAAATTTGTACAAGGCACTCATCTGTTAACCTATGTACTTGTACCCAAAGTTAACAATACTATGATCATCTTCCTTTCAAAAGCCTCTGAGATTTTAAACTGGTTTAGATTGCATTTTCAGAGTCCAGGATATTAACAAAAATGTAGGCTAAATTCATGGAAATTAAATTCATAGAAACTATTTAGAATAAACAGAGGTAAATGTTTCTCTTGTATCACTTCCTGATCATCTATATTAAATCCTCCGACGTGCCTCCAGTGAAGTGACTATGTTATTTGCAGCAATACAATTCCGTATTAAAATGAGTCATTTAAAAAAGACAAAGGAGTAATGTAAATTTTTATATTTTCAGAATACTATGTTTCCATATATAAAACCCCATATAATTTTAATTATCCTAATCTCATTTAAGATTAGAAAGCTTTCCAGTAAAACCCAATTCTTTCTTCATGCTCCCAACACTCTGACAAGGGTTTAGAATTGTTTGATGAATGTTCCATTCTTCTGTACAGAATGAACTCTGATAGAATTCATTTATAAATGGCATAAATCAACTTTCTTCCATTCCTTGTCTTCTTCCTTCTTTATTCTTAATCCAAAAGATACATATATATATTAGATTGGACTTTTTTGCTGTCTTATAAATAAAAAAAGATCTTGTGACTCTTTCTTTAAGACAACTCTCAAAATTTAACTCAGTCTTAACTAAATATGTAAATATGCAAATTCTTCTGTACCCATTAGTTGGCAACCTGCAAAAGCAGATTAAAACATAATGTATAAACTAAGCAAGACTAAGCAGATTGTTATAACATTTGAATAAAAAGGTTTTTCTTTAAATGGCTGCCTTAATAAATGTTAGCACATTTTGAATCTAAATTAGTTAAGAATTTGAGATTTCTTCTATGAAAATATTTGCCCTTAACAATCCCTCTCAAAGCACATAAAGCTCACACTTACCCATGTTGACCGTCGTGGTTATATCATCCTCAGATGAAAGCTTATCTGAATTCAGAATTAAAGGTTATAAAAAGAAGCAGTAAAGAGGTCTGACTTTCCCAGAAACGCGACTGTCAGATGCTAACTAGGCTTTTTAATGAGGAAAACTAGTGTGTCTTCTAATTATATAAGCTTCAGGTCAAATTCTAGCATCAACTAATCAAACAACTGAACTGCATTTAGTTTCCAGGAGTAAAAAAAAGAAAACTGCTTAAGAGGAAAGACATTGTTTCCTTAGAAATTTGGAAAACTAACATTGAAAATTTACTTATGTATCAATAAAATGTTGAAGATTTAAAAGGCAATTGTATATTTTGCCATCTTAAATAATTTGAAGAAAAATATTGGGGAAAATTAAACATGCAATTATTTTTCTGTATTTTCCCGAAGTCAAATGTTCCCGAAAACCTTGCATCTTATCTTTATGTTGTCCAGTACTTATCTCCTTATCAATTGTAGTATCACAATATTTAATTCTAAAACCATACTAATTAGTAACAAATCCAAAAATGTCTAGTTTTTAAAATGTATCTTACATCATTTATAAATAGGATTTTTTGAAATGAAGTACAAAGCTATTATGAGAAATTAAAAAAAATAACATTTTATCTCAATATTTTAAAAGCTATTTCGATGCAGATTTTACTGTGGTATAGAAAAAACACAAAAAACAGTATATGTGGTAATGGTATATTAAAAAACAGTAATGATCAGAAGATTTTGAATGAATGAAGAAATATGACAGGAGTTATCTATTGTACACAGCCTTCTTTGTCAGTTTTAGAAAAATAGTTTCAGCAAAACCACACAGGTCTTCATTGTAATATCTAGTATGTAGCTGTCACTCACCTTTATCTAAAAGGTATAGAAGCTTCCTAGGCATAGAGAATGTTTAGACACACAGATCCACTTTTAAAAAATGAGATATGACTCATTTACTATACATAAAAATCATTCTTTTAAAAAAAACATAATAGTTTATTTTTACATCATTTTGTACATTTTTTCATCTCAGTTACAATGCCCATGGGCTTCCCATCACTGTATCACCCATGTGCCATCACCATAGTCCAGTGCATTTCCCTCCCCCACTCAAAAAATCACTCTTAATATTAACAATACAGTTGAATAATTTTTAATATTTGCAAGGTTGCTCAATCAACACCATTAATCTTAGAACTTTTCTGTCAGCCCCCCCAAATAACTTCACGCCCCCCAATTCCTTTACCCGTGGCAATCACTCATCTCTAGCCTGTCTCTCTGGATTTGCCTACTCTGGATAAGACACATAAAAGTCACCCAAGATGTGGCCTTTCTGCTGATTTCTACCACCTAATACAATGTTTTCAAGGTTCATTCACATTGTAACATTTATCAATATAGACACCCACAGCATAATAACGTTTGGGTCAACCATGGAGCACTAATAGGCCATGGTCCCAAAAGTCCTTCTGCCTGGTGACATCCTACATATCTTAATCATGGAGCATTGTATGCAGGCAGCAGCCTCTCGAAGTTTAGGTTGTTTGTAGCTCTTATTAGCATTATCTCCCCCATGTGCTTGATTTAATCTCATGTTTTGTACCTCTAATGCACAAAATCTCCTGGCTAACATCGCCAATAAAAGTCATGTCCAGTGATTGATCTGGAACAAAATTAAAAATGATGAAGGACCATGAAAATGATCAGTGGTCACTGATCACCAGATCTGTCCCATTCCAGAAAAGATAAGATCTTGAAGAACACAATGACAGAAGCTATGAAGCACAATGACAGAAGCTAAGGATCTGCTTCATTGAAAGCTGTGAGGATAAAAAAAATTTGAGAGAGGTCTGTATCAGATATAGAGAAACTTCAAATGACCTGGAAAGGCCAGACACATCAGTGTATTTTTCTCAGTACCCTGGTGACCATAATGAAAGCAGAAACTTTGTTTGCAATGTTGAAGGAAAAGGCAGGACCCACCTATGATGCTCAATTTACTGGGGGAGGGAGGTATGAGGGGGGAGATGTAAGCAACTCAACGTCAGTCTTTACAAAAGGTGGCAAATCTTCATGTGCTGATGTAAAGGCAACTGAAAAAAAATATTAGAAATTCTAGATAAACTGATTATGAAGACATATTGTCAGAACAAATCTTCAATCTGGATGAAAATTCCTTGTTCTGGAAATGGATACTGGAAAAGATTTTTATCCATGAGACCAAGTCAATGGCAGGCTTTTAGGGTTTTAAAGACCGGCTAATAGTCTTCCTTGGCAGAAAAGTTACAGGCCACAAATTAAATCCTTTGTCACCAGCAAAGTGGGGTGAAGAAAGCTTTCAAGCATCAATCTGCACACACAACCAGTGTACTGCAGAAGCAACAAAAAGTTATAAATGACACAACTCCTAGTCCGAGATGCCTTCTGAATTGCTTTGTCAGGAGAATACACTGACATTCTCACAACAAAATCACCTCAGCAGTGGACTTCTCAGAATGCATTGAGTGTTAAGCGATGACTACACTTCGTTTATTTTTATGGCTGAATCATATTCTATTGTAGGGATGTACCACATATCCTTCTCCATTATTTTAATTTTGGGCTATTGTAAAGGATGCTGCCACGAGCATTCCTAAACAACTCAATTCTACGTGGATACTCAGAAATTGCTGGGTCCTATGGTAACTGTCTAGCTTTTCAAGAAACTGTTTTCCACAGTGGTTGTACTGTTTTCCATTCTCACGAGGAATGTATGAGGGTCCCAACTCCTCCACATCCCTGTCAACCTTCATTATCATGTCTTTTTTAATACAGCCATCCTATTGATTGTATGGTGGTTCTGATTGTGGTTTTAATTTGTATTTCCCTAAAGAGTAATGATATTGAGCATCTTTTCCTTTGCTTATGAGACATTCTTCTTTGAAGAAATGTTTAAAATTCTTTGTCCAGAGAATCCAGCAAGATGCAAAGCAAATATACCAGGCTCACCTCATCCAAGTGCTCACAACTAAATTGTAGCAGATCAAAGTGAACAACTCCAGAAAGATAAAAGAACTACAGTACAGGTGTAATGGTCCGGTCCCCGGACAGGGGGCCGACCCACATGGCACAGTAGACCTCTCCTGACTCGCCTGCTTCTCCTCTCAGCAGTGTATTTTGATCAATCTGTCTGTTCTGCTCCCCATGCTACCTATGTGATTTTAAAATATGACCATACTCAGGCATAGGACTAAAAGTTGACTTTGCCAAGATTTAAATAGATCTACTGGTTTATTAGTATGATTAAACTCTCAATTGAATTGCATAACTTATTGTAAATGATGAAAATAATGTTCAAAAAGGCATAAGTGAGTGATGGCTTTATTGGCAAAATGATCAAAGAGAAGTAGTATATGTTCACAGATTTAACTGTTTTCCTTACAACTAAAAGCTTCAACTACCACATTAAAACTTCAAATGCTGAATATCTACATGTGGAGCTTTAGCCTCAGGCCTGGAGCAGCTGTGAAATGAAAGTTGCCACACCATTCTAGTCCTTGAATGTCAGTATATTGTCCTTCACCTTCCACCCTGCAATAGTAAAAAATAAGTTTGTTAACCAAGACAAAGAATTTACAATCTATATACTATATATATAAAATATTGTATATACTATATAGAATACAATATATACAATATTATTATATATACTATATATAATATTATACAATATTATATACTATGTCAGAAGAATTCTCTCTCTCTCCTGGTTCCACAGCCTACAAAAATACTACTATTCCAAATGATCACTGTCAACATACAAATCTTGGGTCTGAGATTTTAGGATCACATATGTTAAATTTACACAAAGTTAAAACAGTCAGTTAAAAAATAAAATGTTTATATTGGCTTAATTAAAAAATTTTTTTTCAACAAATACTTATTGACAATCAACTATGTTTGAGGGGCTGTGTTCTGTGCTGGTATTTTCTTGGACCCTTAGGAAATGGGAAAAATGCATTTCACATATACAAATAAATCTCTATCCTATTGGTTATTTTTCTCCCTTGATTAAAACTAGTGGGAAAAATTTATGTGCTATCATCACAGAAAGGAGTCAAAATAGATGAACCTCTTCTTTTCTCCTCAACATGTATTGGCAGCAATTGCTTCATAACTATTAGGTTACATTTGCAATTCTGTAACTAACATAATATTTATAAATATTACAAACTAAAATTATAAATGAAAGTGAACCTTTGGATGACATGGCATGTAGTTAGTGTAATGATTAAACTTGTAAAGCTGTGCTCAGGTTTCATTTCATTTCCATTTTTCCTACAAGCAAATGATCAGAATGGACACAGTGGGTGTATAACTACAATTTGAAAATAATTAATTTTGTTTACATTTTTAAAAATGTACACATATATCAGGTCAAAATGAAGTAAACAACTATGAAATTAACCTTAATAATGCTTTTTAAAAATGTTTATCAAGATATTTAAAGTTAATTTGGGGTCTAAATTTTCTCAGCAGCTTTCTGTTTATAAGCTGACTGCAAAAACTTCCATAGGAATAGAGGAAGTTGAATTGAAATCAATGACAAATCTATTAGATGATCAGCAAGAATGACTTTCTTTTGGAGGTTCATGATGATCTTAACCTCTCATAATATTTTTTCCCAAAATATAACCCAAAAGTTCTGATAAAATATACTTTAACTAAATGTTATAAAATAATATAAACATTAATTACATAATATTAAGTAAATATTTTAGTAATTTATGCCTGAGAATCTATTATTAATAGAATGACAGTTACTTTATATGTCAAGCTTACCTATTTTCATTGAAATTTCCAGTGTACTTTGCCCCAGATGGGAATGTATAAGTCCCCAATCCATGAAACATGTTGTCTTTAAATTGTCCTTCATATACTGCTCCTGAAAAATGCTCAAGTCTTCCAAAGCCATTCATCTGCTTGTAACAAACAAAATGACCTCAGCAACTTAACCTTCATGTTTCCTCGCACATTTAAAAAATGTACACATATGTCTATCATCGACTAAATTATGACTTATTCTATCATTGAACACCCTTTATTTCCACAATAAGACATTTTTAAGATTGTCATTCTTAAGTATCTCTGTGAAGCCCATCAAATTAAAACTTCCTGATTTGGTGCCTTTGAACATCTAAGGGGTCCATGATGACAAGAGGTTCCCTGGAATAATTTGAAACTCTCAGAACTCTGAAAGGCAGCTAATTTAGTTAGACCAGGTAACAGCATGAAGACATCATTAAGAATAATTTGTGTTCAAGCAGATATGGGTAAACTTTTCCTTCATTACTTATTAGTTGGACAAGAAATTTGAACCTTATTTTCCTAATTTATAAAACAGAAATATTTATGGTACCTACTTCTTAAGGTTGCGATAGGGAATATATGAGAAAATCGTGTAATGGATTTAGCTTTACTCAATGAGTAGGAGATAAGATGATAACAGTGATTAGTTCTCTGCATGCATTTAATATTACTAATTTGCTAATACATGTTAAACATAATGATTTGTTATTGTCATTGTATAGTCTACTCATCTGTGTTTTTGACCAATGGTGAAGTGCTTAAAAACATTTAATCAATAGTGTTTTTGACAAAACAACAATAGTACCTTGTCATCCTTCCAGTTTCCTGTGTAGACAATCCCATTAGGAGTGGTATGAATACCTACTCCATTTCTCTCAAATATTCCAGAGGGTGTTCTTGTACAGTCACCATCTAAATAAGAAATACTGAAAATTATAAGTGGGAATCCTGTTTGATGACATAATCAAGTATTTATGTTCAGATCTTATCACAACTGCCCCTCCATCGGTCACCCTGGCTTCATAGTACTAAAACCAGCAGGACCTGAGATGGGAGCTCAATCTGAAGACACTGATGCTAAGGACCAGTTAGACTGAGAGATCCCATAGATTTCCAATGTATACTGTCTAGCCTAACATTAGAGTTTAGGTTGGTTTTTTTTTTAATGATTTATTTATTTACGCATAAAGAACTGGGGTACAAGCTAGAAGTGTAGGGGCGGTGAAAAGATTCACCAGAGACAGAGTGGGGTACAGAACAGGCAGACTGACGAAGTACACTGCTGAGGGGAGCAGCAGGTGGGCCAGGAGAGGTCTGCTGCACCTTGTGGGTCACCTCCCCATCAGGGATCGAACTTGCACTGAAGTGGCTGCACCTCACTTACAGTCCTAACCCGAAGCGCCACCAGGGAGAGCCAGAGTTTAGGTTTGAAATCTGTTCATTTGTTAATATTTCTGTTATTTTATTTAATTAAATGTATATCTCAATGGCACTTTTATAGAATGTGACACTCTCATTATTTATTCTTAAGCTACTTCATTTTAGTTTACATAGAAAAAGTAATAGAAATGTATGCTTACCATACTTGTCTCCATTTGGAAATATAAAGTTTATCTTATATACTTCTGGGGCTGTTTTAGAAGATTGAAGAGAAGTCATATAAACAAATCATAAGATCTATAACAAATGTGCTTTAAGAACTAATTACATAGACTCACTTCATATGATCATAAGCATATCATGATTACTTGGCATTTCCATTACCTAGTGTAAGGTCCTGAGGGAATAAATAATTTTGTCTAAATGATTTATTTTTGTTTGTTAAAATAGGTTTATTAATATATAATTCATATAATACAAAAATTTCCATTAAGAATCATACAAGTTAAGCTTTTTAGCATTTCAGGTCGTGCAACTATCACCATAATCTAATTTTAGAATATTTTAATGATCTCCTCCAAAGAAATCCTGTACCCATTAGCAATTACTCTCGATTTTCCTAATGTCATACACTTCCCCACCCCACCTTAGCCCCAGTCTCTGATAATAATCTACTTTCTGTATCTATAGAATTTGTCTATTCCAGGGATTTTACATAAAAAAGAATAACATAACATGTGGTCCTGTGTGACTGGGTTCTTTTACTTGGTACATTTACAAGGTTCATCCATGTTGTGGTGTGATTCAGTATTTGATCACTTTTGTTTATTCACTTATCAGCTGATGGAATGTTTTCCATTGGATTGTTACGAATAATGCAGCTATGGATATTTACATATAAGTTTTCACATGGAATATGTTTTTATTTCTCTCAGGTAATATCTATGGTCTATTGCTTGTCTCACAGAGACAAGGCAGATTAAGGAATCTCTAATGTGGCAGTAGGAGAAAACAGAAAATAAAGATAGTGAGGAGGGGTTAGGTTGGGGGGCAGTGTCACAGAATGAGATTGGAGATGGACAGTAGTTGAATAATGAAAAATGATAAACACAGGGCCAAGGAGAATCAATGGATTAAAACATTAGAAACTATCTTTTTCTGATATTGAAAAAAAAACCCACAAAGACAAAAATGCATGTAGAGATGCTAAATTAACTTCTAGGCCAATAGTGTCTACTAGAATGTTGCTCCTTCTAGAATGTTACCAGTCAGAATCATCTGGGACACTTACAAGCTCCTAGGCTCTGCTCCACATTACCAAATAAGAATCTAAATGGGTGGGGCAAAAGATATTTTTAATTTAAAAATTTACGTAGGTGCCACGGGAGAAACACTGGAGATTCACCCCTCTAGGACAACAATTACTAACATAATAGGCAGAAGGCTTTAAAATACTGTAACCTCCTGAGAAAGAAAGGAAACATATAATACCCTTGAACTAGGAACAGGTGTTATGAAAAAGAAATAGCAGTATACAAAATAAATAATTGGGGAAATAAAATTCCTTAAAAGAGCTGAATAGTGGAATAATACAAGAAAAAGAAAATTATTTAACTGGAATACACGACGGATATTTTCTCCTGAAAGAGGCACACTTAAAAAAAAAATCACTGGAGCAAAGCCCTCACCCTCACCCCAGATTCCTCTAGGAAATCCAGTATGAGTCTGGGATTATTCCCACTATATAGTATTTAAGACCCTATTAAAATAATTTCGGCCAGAATTCCCTATTACCCTCTTACTCCCCGAGGTCAGGAATCCCAGACTAGCCAAAGCTCTCTTCTTACCCTACTGTTCAGTGCTTAGAACTGAAAGGCATGGAATGTTTAGTGAAGTGAATGGTACTTGGGAATTGATCGTTAATTGTCTATTAAGCATAGCACTAAATGCAATCATAAACGAACCCGAGCGGGTTTCTACGTTCTAAATGGAAATTTTGTTTAGCGCTAGAGAGAACCCAAGACCGGCTGGCACCAAGCACAGAGTAACACCCGAAGAGACTGGCATTTGTCTAAGGCGTGCCGGCAGCCAATCAACGGCCGAACGAAAGTTAGAACACAGGTGTCCTGACTCCCAGGCCGGGGGGGCTCTCTGCGCCCCCTTCTCCTACGCAGTGTAGACCCTCGGAAAATCAGTCCCCCAGGAGAGTTATGAGGGTCCGGCCCTGGCTCGAGCGAATTCTACTTAGGGCGTCTTTCTCCTCCCGGGACGTTGGGAAGAGAGGCACCAACCTGCCAAAGAGGTGTCCGCGACATTTTCTTGACTCTGCACTTCGCCATGGGCCGCCAGCTCCGCGGCCAGGAGAGCAGCAGGCAGCTAGCGCAGCTCCGAGAGCGACTTGGTTGCCGGGGCGACCGGTCACCTCTCACCCGGAAGCGAATACGCAAGCGGCCGAGGCCGAGCCAATCGGAAGGCACCGGGGCTGTGCAGCTGCCGATGGGCCGCGGCGCCGCGGCTCAGGTGAGATCTGCCAAGGTGGCCGAGCCCAGGCCTGACGCCTGAGCCCTGGGCGCCGCCTAGGTGCAGCCGGCCCGGGAAGCCGCGCTCGACCCCGGTGCGGCCTCCACTTCCGCGGACAAGGGATGTACGTCCTTGTGCGTGGTCTGTACGTCGCCCCGATTGTCAGTGTGCACACCGGTCTGTCGCCCGTCTTTGCCGGGGGACCCCGTCGGGCCGCGGGGGGCCGGTGAGTCGGGACCTGGAGGAGCCCAGTTCTTGGAACCCCGACAGGCGGGCGTCGACTGCTGAGGGTGTCCACACCCAGGCCCGGGGGCCCCGCAGCTGAATTCTAGCGCAGAGCCGGGTAAAATGTTCTTTTATTGCATCGGAGGGTCTAAGGCTTGGTTTCCTGTCTCTGTCTCCATCTTGAGCGGAGTGGGTGTTTTGGGGGGGCGGACTAGGAACGACGTGTGTTGAGGCAAAGGTGCCAGGGCCGGGCCTGGAGCTGGACGTGCAGGCAGGCAGATTTGCCTGGGAGGGGAATGGTGTGTGGTCAGTTTTCAGTGTCCTGACTGATGATACTGTTCCTGGGAACCAATTTTGGATGTGAAACAAAGGATATTCTTTCAAGCCAAACTCAGGTCTCTGTGGCCAGGAGGATAAAAGAGAGCTGGAATCTTCCCAGGCCAAATGGACTAGGACAATGTGGATGATATAGCCTAATTCCTTCCCCCTGGAAAATGTCTGGGGAGGGTCGTGTTGGATATAACCAACAAGACTTCGTTAAACATTTTGAGGGCAGATCTGAAATCATCTTGTAAAGTGACATTTTCTGGGTTGGTGTGAGGAAAAGTTGTCCATTGCTCTTTGGGCAAACTCGCTGTGGATTGCTCTGGTTGATCTGTCATGCTTATTTGCTAGAAGCACAGTGTCTTCTGCTCTTTTTCTGAGTATTTCTTTCTACAAAAAACGTACCTGGGCTGGGCAGTTTTTGGAAATGAAGCTCTGATCTTCCTGTTGTATCTTTTGGTTGTTTTCTTTTAATACTTTACCTTTTTTTAAATTTTAGAAACAGTAGGTCATTTTCTATGCACAATCGTGCCAGAATTCAGGTTTTTTTTAGTCTCTTAATAGTGCTTAATGACCTTATATTTTTGTGAGTCTGTGTGTATGAATGTGCATATATGTATGTGTACCACGTTTTATAGAAGAACATGAAGTGGTTGGACTTTGTTGTGATTTTAACCAAGAGGATTTGGAGTCAGAGGGAGGTTATAACGATGGGCTTTTAAGTTTGGAATGGAAGAATACTTGTCCTTTTCCCCCTATATTTTGTGATGTTTTGCCACCCTGGGGTCCTAGCTGGCCAGAAGAAACTACCCAGGCCACTGCTCATCTGTTAACTTGCCTTTCAAATGCAGACCAACCTACCCCCACCTCGGTATCCCCAACCGTTTCCTTCATGTCTTTCTTGTACACTGGGCCAATATTTCCCCTGCCTTAAATTGACCACCACCAGGTAACAGGCTCCCTATGTGCTATTGGCCAATAGCTGATAACCCTCCCCCCTTCACTTTCCTGCAGAAACCCCAAGAAAGACTGCCACTTACTACCTTTTCCTTCTTATTTGTTCTGCCTCTGACTGACGTGGGTGCTTCTTCCTGTGGCCCAGTGTACTGTGCCACCATGCTCTTTTCTAAGGAAACTGTGATTCACAGTCAACTTTTCTTTCAATGACTTTGACCCTCCTGTGTCATCACTCAGTCATCTTTATAAATTAAGATTTATGTTTAACTTAAAAAGATAAAAGGGAGGTGTGTGTGTGTGCGTGCACGTGTGTGCGTGTCTCATAGACCTACATGAATGAGATATGGTGGAATGAATTTCATTTGGAGTCAAATGGATGCTCCAGACCCTGACTCCAGATTTTCTTTCTATAGTTAATGACATTAGACAAATCATATAATTTTTTGTGTTCTAGTTTTCTACTCTATAAATATAGAAAATAATATGTACCTTACAAGATTTTTAAAGGACTAAGTGAAATGATCTTATTTTTCCCTTCAGTGTAGACTTTTATATTCAATACCTTCTATGCATCTTCATTTCAGTATCTAATAGGCATCTCAGATGTAGCATATCCAGTCCAAATCTTTTCCTACCCAATATCCCCATCCTATGCAGATGGCAGATGGTACCACTACTCACCCCCATTAATCTAGGCCAAAAAAAACCACCAGCAGAAGTACATGCTTTTCTTAAACTTTCCCACAAATTAATCTTTAAAATACATTTAAAATCTGAATATTTACCAACTCTACTCCATCCACCCTAGTACAGCATTCTTTTTTTCTTTATACGGAACAATTGAAGTTATTTCCTGAAGGCTTTTTTTTTTTTCTTACACTCTTTTTATTCCTCACATAACACCTAAGGTGATGTTTTAAAACATAGTATCAAGCTGTTGCCCCACCTCCTAGTAACTTTCTATGATAGAATAAAATGGGAAGTCCTCCCCAGGGTTAGAGGTCCTCTCTACCCTGTGACCTATCTCGTCAGCAGATTACTCCAGACATCTTCCTGTTCATTCAACCCAGTGTATTGAGACCGTTCCAGATTCAACCCTTTGCACCTATTATTGCTTCTGCACTTTTCATAAGTATTTCTTGTGTTGTTCTTATACTTTGTTCAGGTGTCAGCTCAAATATTATCTCAGAGAGGGCTTATATGACCACTCTATCTAAAATAAAAGCATCAGGGTTTTCCTTTTCCTTCATAGCACTTAAGATACTATATATCTACTCATTTATTTATTGTCTGTCTTACTCTCTAGAGGGAAGCAGGGATTTTATGTCCTTTGTTGTTATGTCCCTAAGATGTACACATAATAACCATTCAGTAAGTGATTATGGCATGAATAAATAAATAATCTCCATTTTCATATAAGTCATTTATTTAGCCTTTACCATTCATTCCACAAATACCTAGGGATTCCTACTTCCTACTATAAGTAGGAGTGTACTATATGTAGGAATGACCACTGCATTACAGACAGTGTGGTTGTCAGTATGGCCATACCGGTTACCTTCAAAGAGTTTTCTGGGAAGATAAGAGACAAATATAGGTAAACACTAAATACATGTATGTAATTAAGAGGGTTTTTTTTTTAACAATATAATAATTTGTTTTTACATCATTTTGTGCCTTTTTCCATCTCAGTTATAATCCTGGTGGACTTCCCATCACCAAATCACCTGTGTGCCATCACCATAGTCCAGTTCTCTCCCACTACCATTTTGATCCCATCCCACATTCTACTCTCATAAAATGTTTCTGGTATATAGTTGTTCATTATTATTATTGCTATTTTCTCCCCTGGTCCTTTATACTCCTGCTATGAGTGAAACCATCCAGTATTTTTCCTTTTCTTTCTGGCTTATTTCACTAAGCATGATCTATTCACCTCCATCCATGTTGCTGCAAAAGGCGTGTGTTTTTGTTTGGTTTCTGAGTAATATTCCATTGTGTATATGTACCACGTCTTTTTAATACAGTCATCTACTTTTGGGGTGTTTCCATGTCTTTCCAGTTGTAAATAAAACAGCAGTAAACATGGGGTTGCAGGTGTCTTTTTGAGTCAGTGTTTTTGTGTCTTTTGGGTAGATACCTGGGAGTGGGATTGCTGGGTCATATGGAAGCTCCATGTTTAGCAGGTTGAGGAACCTCCAAACAGTTTTCCATAGTGGTTGTACTAGTTTGCATTCCCACCAGCAGTGCCGGAGAGTTCCTTTTTCTCCACATCCTTGCCAACATTTATTGTTGCTAGTTGTTTTAAGATGTGCCATTTTCACTGGGGTGAGGTGGTATCTCATTGTGGTATTAATTTGCATCTTCCTTATTGCAAGTGATGTTGAACATTTTTTCATATGCCTGTTGGCTTATGAGGGATTTTAAGGATACTAAGAGACCTAATTTAATTTCTACATATTTGTACATTTCCCAAAGATGTTCTTGCTTTGATTTCTCAGTTTATCCCACTGTGATACAAAAACACACTTTGTATTATTTCTCTCTTTTTTAATTTATTGAGGTTTGTCTGGGAAAATCTTCCATGAGCATTATGAAAAGAATGTATACTTTGTCCTTAGGTGAGTGTTCCATAGGTGTCTGTTATGTAGACTTGTAGTGTTTTTCAGATATTCTCTTTTTCATATTGATCTAAGTGTTCCACAATCATTGAAATGTGGTATTGAAGGCTGCTTCTCCTGAAGTGACTATTTCTCCCTTCGCTGATCAGTATAGGAAAAAACACAGTATGTGTAGGGCTTGGTACTTTCCACTTTCAGCTGCCTTGAGGATCTTGGGCTGTATATGCTACAATAAAGTGGGGCTGCTGTATGTTTAGAATTGATGTATCTCCTGATGCAATGATCCTTTTACCACTTTGAAAAGCCCCTCTTTAATCTCTAGTCACATTTTTTGCTTTAAGTCTATTCTGATTCTAGCATGGTCACTCCAGATTCTTGTGATTGCTGTTTACATAATTTATCTATTTCCATCTTTTTACTTTTCATTTATTTGTATTTTTCAGTATTTTAAAAAATTTGTTTGCTTTTTAATGACTGCTCTGAAGTCTGTCATATATATCTTAATTTATCAGAATCAGCATAGATATAACCTAGCTCAATTTAAGTGATATTTAGAGTTGTTTCTCCCATATTGCTATACTCTTTTTCCTTTCTTTTTATATTATATATATAATCTCTATTAATGCAACTCATAAAAATGCTTTTATGATTGTTACTTTACTATCTGTAATTTTTTTTAGCCCAGTACAACTATGCTCCCATCCATCTATGTATTACTGGCAAATGTATTATTATATCACTATGTTATAGGCCCCAGTGTTACAACATACACGTATTAAGCAATTGCTTTTAAGTCAATTGTTAGAAAAAAATATTGTTTTTTCCTAAGTTATAATGACCCTTATAGGTGCTCATTGTTTTTTGTGTGACTTTGAATACTACCTAGGATCACTTGCTTCAGCTTGCAGTTTCCTTTATACTTTTTGTAAAACATGTCTACTGTAAAAAAAAAAAAATTCTTTGTTTTGGGCCCTCGCTGGTGGTACAACAGGTTAAAGCACCACACTAAGAAGCTAACCACTAAGAAGCTAGCTGCAGCTGCCTCAGCACAAGTTCGGTCCCTGATACCATGCCAGGAAGGTAATCCAGATGGCGCAGTAGACCTCTCCTGTCTCACCTGCTTTTTCCGTCAGCAGTGTACTTCCTCTATCTGTTCTGTTCCCAACTTTGTCTCTAGTGAACCCTCTCACTGCCCCTGTACCCCTGGCCTGTACCCCAGTTCTGTATGCATAAATAAATAAATCTTTAAAACAAAAATCCTCAGTTTTTGTTTGGAGAAGTTTTAATTTGCCTTCATTTTTTAAAAAGATTTATTTATTTCTGCATACAGAACTGGGGTACAGGCCAGAGATGTGGGGGGGGGGGTGAGGAGATTTACCAGGGACAGAGTGGGGAGCAGAACAGGCAGACTGACTGAAATATACTACTGAGGAGAGCAGCGGGTTGGTCAAGAGAGGTCTGCTGTGCTGTGGGGTTCACCCTTCTGGTGGGGATCAAACTTGTGCTACAGTGCTATGATAGCTTCATAGTTTTGTGCTTTAACCTGTTGTGCCACCATGGAGGACCCTGCCTTCATTTTTTAAAGTGAGTTTTTTTGGATGTAGGGCTCTTAGTTAACAGGGTTTTTTTGTTTGTTTGTTTTTTGGGTTTTTTTTAGTAATTGAAATTACATCATTGCCCTTGATCTCCCTTATTCTGCCACATCAATTGTTAATCTTAATTTATCCTGCCATTTTAATGAATTTATTTATTTGAATAGTTTTTTGGTAGAGTCCTTAGGATTTTTCTTTGTATAACATTGTGTCATCTGCAAATAGAGACTGTTTTGTTTATTTTCTAATTTGAATGCCTTTTATTTCTCTTTCTTGCCTAATTGCTTTGGCTAGGATTTCTAGTATTGTGTTGAGTAAGTTGTGAGGTTGAGCATCCTTATTTCACTCCTGATCTTTCAGGTTATCATCATGGTGTTAGCTGAGGGATTATTATTTATGGCCTTTATCATGTTGAATTATGTTCTTTATGCACAAAATTTGTTGAAAGTTCCATTTTTTATTGTTTCAAGGCATATTTTTACTTCCCTTTCAATTTCTTTTTTGACCTGTCTGTAATTCAAGAGGATGTTATATCATCTCTAGGTTTTTGTGAATTTCACAGCTTTCTTTCTGTTACTGACTTCTATATCACGCTGTACCCAGTTCAGATGTCAGTTGGGCCCTAGGCATGAGTGCTTTAAAAGTTGTTCCTGGTCCACATCTCTGTTTAAGAAATCTGCCTCCAGAAACTCACTAAATATTATTCCGGGGGTTAAGAGAATTTTTGTAAATCTTTTGTTTATCCATACTTTACTGAAATTGACCCTCTTAAAGACATTCATTTCCCTTTATTTCTTTAAAATAGGCTATAATCCATAAGTTTGACAAGCTTGCTCTGTTTTATGATCTCTACATTGTTTTTCTCTTGTAGGTGAAGATGAGTTCTTCAGGAAGAAGAAAAGGCAAGCCAGGCAAAGGAAGTGGCAAAGGGTCTTCTAGAGGAGGAAGAGGAGGCAGGAGCCACACTAGCAAAAGCCATGGTGGTGGTGGTGGCAGTGCCGGTGGCTACGGCGGTGGAGGCAGTGGTGGCAACAGAAAGGCCTCAAGTAGAATTTGGGATGATGGTGATGACTTTTGTATCTTCAGTGAAACAAGACGCTCCTCCAGGTCATTATATACTTTAAGTGTCAAATATGGAAGTCATAATCTCTGGGACAATAAATAGCTTGAGATAATGGGGTGAAATAGCATATGGTAATGGTCGTGTGAATTGCGCCTCTTGTTTTAAAGCCTTGTGGTCTGCTTCTCTGTAACCCTTGATTTTTCCAGAGGATTCTTGAATTAGGAGAACCAGATTTAATGAGTAAGAATCTGATCAGGGGTCTTCCTGGTGGCACAGGGGTTAAAGTCACAGCGCTATCAAGTTCTCACCAGCCACTGTGGCATGAGTTCTGTGCCCAGCCAGGGAGCTGACCTGTGTGGTACATTAGACCTCTCCTGTCTCACCTGCTGCTCCCCTCAGCAATGTATTTCAATCAATCTGGTGAATCCTCCTAGCCTCCAACCTCTGGCCTATACCCCAGTTCTTGTATGCATAAATAAAATAAATCCTTAAAAAAAAAATCTGGCCCTCCCTTGTGGCGCAGTGGGTTAAAGCACAGCACTGAGAAGCTTAAGCCATGAGTTCCATTCCCGCCTGTCCTGGAGGTGACCACATGGCGCAGCAGACCTCTCCTGACCCACCCACTGCTCCCCTCAGCAGTGTACTTCGTTATACTGCCTGTTCTGCTCCCCTCTCTGTCTCTGGTGAATCCTCTCACCCTCCGCATCTCTGGCCTGTACCCCAGTTCTATATGAATAAATAAATAAATCTTTTAAAAAAAATCTGATCAGGCATTTTTCCAAGTGTTCCATTATATTATAATGAAGTTTGATTAATACTATAAGAAATGAAGAATCTCTTCATATTTATTGTCATCTTTTGTAAGACATGTGGGGACTCTGAAGAGAATATAAAAGCTCTGGTCACAAATAAATGTGTGATTTTGTTCTTGTGCATTTTACAGACCTAGCAATAGTGCAAGAAAAGGAGAGGCACGCTCCAAGTGGAAGTCTGAAGCCAAACTGCCCCTTCAGACTCTGCATATGACTTCTGAGAACCAAGAGAAAGTGAAAGCTCTTCTTCGGGATTTGCAAGAACAAGATGCAGATGCTGGATCTGAGTAAATTATTTCATTTGAGTAAATTATTACATTAAGGAATATGTTACCATGTTGGTAATATGAAGTGAAGGTCCTGAGTGTCCTTGGAATACTGTATTAATACAGATTCTGTTGTGGCCATGTAATTAATTGAAAGGGAGCCAAGAGAAATACAAGAATAATTATTAAGCAACAATTTTAGAGTGAGTTGTTTTGCAATATCTGTGAGCAGTAGTACAGATTGTTTTTTATCTTCTACTCTCCACTCCGCTCCACCCCAGGACAGTGCTAATCTGAATTCAGTAATTGCTTTGTTGATTGTATCTTCCAAATAGAACCTTAGAAACAAATAGAACAAATAGAAACTGATTTCTAGGAGCAAATATGGGTTGACCAGGAAGTCTTAAAACTGTACCTCTTATGACCATTTGCCTAAAACAAATAATTCCTTGACTATGTGTTGCTTTGTGATTTCAGTTGGAGAAGTCAGTTCTCACTTTTCATTTCAGTTTCTTTCATTTTCATTGAAAGCTCAATTTCCATCATATCTACAAATCTCCTATCTGTGTTAGATTGAAAAGTGGCTACACAGAAAAAAAAAACTAGGAATGGTTTTATAAATGACAAAGGAGAGAAGGGTAGCCAGGACCTTTTGTGGTTAAGAGTCTAGGTTCTGGGTTCAGATTACCTAGATAAAACCTCTAGTTTTACTGTGTAACTTTTGGTAGTTACTAATCCTAAGTTTTAGTTGATCATCCGAAAATGGTAATTCTGACAGTATCTGGTGAGGTTCCTGGGAAGATTTTAAAAGAGATAACATGTACACAATACTTACCATAGTAAATGGTTGACAAGTGTTAATTGTCAATGTATGAATTAGTAGGACTAGAATATTAAGTTAGTTATTTAAGAATTTTCAGGATCCTCTGTCCTTTGACTCCTTGAATTAAGTTCTTAGACTCTTGCTAAATTTTTCTCTGAAATAAGTGGAAGTTAATATCTAATATATGCAAATGTTACCTTTGCCAGAAGAGGCATTTCTGGGGAGGAAGAAGATGATGAGCCTGATTGTGATGAAGACCAGTACTGGTCAGCTGGACGAGAAGCTTCCCTTGTACCTGACTGTGATCCTTTAGAATATGCTGGCTCGAATCTCATTGAGCCTCATAATACAGAATTTACAGTCTCGACATTCGCGGTGCAAAAGCTTTCCAGGTAATTGCCATTTATGAGAGTTGGTAGAGAATCTGTGGAACTGAAATCACATTACAGTACATAACAGTACTTTACTGTTGTTTGGGTTCTGGCAGTGCTGGATACCTAATATCCTCTCCTTTAAGATAAAGGGATTAAGGAAGAAGGATTATTTTCAGGGGTGTTGTTTCAGAATACAAGCTCTGCCTATATATACTCATAATGCCACATAATGTATTTAAATGAATGACACTTCCTTGATTTATATTACTCAGTCTTTTTGTCATGTTTTGCTCTTGTCAGGTATGGTTTTCACACTGAGCATTGTCAAGCAGTCCTGAGAATTTGTGATGGTGATGTGGGGGCATCACTAGAACATCTCCTCACCCAGTGTTTTTCAGAGACATTTGGAGAGAGGATGAAAATCTCCGAGGCAGTTACTCATATAAGCTTGGAAGAGTGTGTGGAACAGCGACAAGAAGAAGCATTTGCTCTAAAGTCAATCTGTGGAGAAAAATTTATAGAAAGAATTCAGAACAGAGTCTGGACCATTGGATTAGAACTGGAGTATTTGACGAATAAATTCTGCAAATCCAAGCAAAGGGAAAGTACCAAAAATGTACAGCAGACTCCACTAGATGTCTGTAAATTTTACCTCAAAGGAAATTGTAAATTTGGATCAAAATGCAAATTCAAACATGAAGTGCCCCCAAATCAAATTGTGGGAAGAGCAGAAAGAAATGTAGATGATTCTCATCTTTATGCCAATGAAGAAGCATCTTTTTTGTATGAACTTGAAATTCGATTTTCTAAAGACCACAAGTACCCCTACCAAGCTCCCCTTGTGGCATTTTATTCCACCAATGAGAATCTACCTCTGGCCTGTCGTTTACATATTTCTGAGTTCCTTTATAGCAAGGCCTTGACATTTGCAGAAACTTCTGAACCGGTTGTATATTCTTTGATAACCCTTTTAGAGGAAGAATCAGAAATAGTCAAGTTACTAACAAACACCCCTCACAAATACAGTGTCCCTCCTGTGAACTTTTTGCCGGTATCCTCTGGGACCAGAATAAGCAACCCACCCTGCCGCAAACCAGTGATTCCAAGTCATTATTATTTGTCAAATCAAACTCCAGAAGGTATGTAAGGCATTGACAATGTGGAGGGCATGGTGGAGGGGTATTCAGACGCCTGAAGTAAAGGAGCCCGTGGTTCTGAGGTCAGGGCTAAATTCCCCCACTTAGGCAAATCATTCTCCTTAGGCACAAGAGCTTGAAAATCACCGCACTTCAGTTGTATGGCCCAATGGTATGCCTTGCCTGTAATTATTGGTCTCCCTTCAGTTGAAAGTCTGTAGTAATGGAAATATTTATTTTAGCATTAGGGAATCTGAGTGTTGGAAGAATCTTAAAATAGCTTTCCAGAAAATCTATCTTATTTAATTCATTTGGTTTTACCTGTCCATTTCTATTCTATTGGATTACTTCCAAATGAGGTTTTAGAGATACTTCTCTTTCTAGAAAACTCTGCGTCCACCTCCTTTTAGTTTATTGGACCCCAAAATCCATTACAGTCAGGCTAACTTTATGAACTGTACATCCTCAAAGAAATGATTGTGGGTTTATCCAAATCCAAGAGAAACTGGATTAAAAATCTGGATTAAAGAGTCTGGGCATATTCTTACACCATAACTAAACCCTCTTTTCAAAGTTCATCAAAGAATTCTCTTAAGGTGTTGCGTGTTGCTGCCTGTTTTCAGAGAAACAAATTTTTATTACCTTATAAGAATTTCCCATTAAAGAGCAGTAAATAAGAGAACAAGAAGCCTACAGAGATGTGGGTGCTGGGGAGCTGGCCGTGTTCACACACCAGCCTTTTGACTCACTCCCAAAGGCAGCTTTTAGCATGTGGGATTCGGATGTATTCCTTGAAAATGACAAGTTGTGTGTAAGACATTTTTTTTTAATCACAGTTTTACTGAAATGTACTACATATACCATAAAATCTACTCTTTTAGAGTGTAAAATTGAGTGGTTTCTAGTATATTCGCAGGGCTGTGCAATACTATGACCACTACATTATTCAAGGATGTGTTCATCACTCCAAAAGGAAACATCTGTTAGTGGTCACTCATCATTCTTCCTTCCCCAATCCCCTGGCAATCACCAATGTATGGATTTACCGATGCTGGACACTTCATGGATATGGAATCTTGCAATATGTGGCTTTTTAAATGACAGACTTCCTTCACTTAGCATCATGTTTTTGAGGTTCATCCATGTTGTAGCGTGTATCAGTACTTCTTTTTATTGCTGAATGGGCATTACCACACTTTGTGGATTGATTTATTGTTTGATAGACATTTGGGTTGTTTAGTGTCATTTTAGGAACATTTGCAAATTGAAAAGTTCATTCTTTAACTAAAAGAATTTAATGAATTAATAAGACCTGCCATGATTATCTGCTCTTTTTTTTTTTAAGATTTATTTATTTGTTCATACAGAGTAGGGGTACAGGCCAGAGGTGCAGGGACGGTGAGAGGCTTCACCAGAGACAGAGTAGGGAGCAGAACAGGCGATTATTTGCTCTTTTTAATTCAAAAATAACCACGTATAGTTGACTACAATTTACTTGAAGATGCATTTTACGTTCTTTAGCTGTAGAAGTAATATATTGAAATGAATATACTGCTTTATTTAAGCTTTAACTTTTTCTCTATTTTGTGATGTTTTTGTTGTTGCTGCTTTGCTACATGGTGATTTCCCCCTTTGCTAAAGAAAGGATTCCATGTCAAAAACTGTTTCCTTTTATCCCTTTCAAGTTGAAAAGGAGTCAGAACCTGAGGAGGAGACAGATGAAGATGAAGGCCCTGCACCAGTTATAGTGGAGAATGAAAGCTATGTGAATCTTAAGAAAAAGATTTCTAAAAGATATGACTGGCAGGCAAAATCAGTACATGCTGAAAATACCAAAATTTGCAAGCAGTTCCGAATAAAACAGGTAGGATATTCTGAGAAATGGCTGGCATTGCATCTCTGATGTATGGGTGAAGGGCTGAGAATTGGGAGGCGTAGGCCACCCTCCCTAGTATACTTTTGCTTCACTTTCTCTCTGAGTGATCAAAGATTCTACATTCCACAGCAAACTTGGGTGGTATTCTAGATAGTTCAGGAAAATCCACCTACTGGTGTCAAGCACACACAGATAAAATACTCTCAGAATCAGGTAGTTTTGCTACTGTAGTGGACAGTCCAGTAAGTAAAAGGAAAATCAATACTGTGATTTACATTAGAAAAGTTAGAATGAGGGACTGATGCCATTTCAAAGGCTCACAGGATGAATAACTTGCCCAAGGTGATGTAGCTCACAGATGTTGTACAGGTATTCAAACTGATTCTGTTTCCAAAGTCTGGTTTGTTTTTACTCCATTCACATTAGTTTAAAGAACCCACAAGTGAACCGTTAAGGCAGAGTTGAATGTAGGGCAACCAGATTGGGGATAAGATTAGACATGAATTCAGTTCTAGAATTCTGTGTTTCTGATTTATGTAAAACTGCACAATAAGATAGTAGAAACAAAAAATTACCTATTAGAATCAGTATGTTCAGAGGTGATAGACCTACCTGACAAAATTATATGCTGAAAATGATGTGTTGTATAAATGACTTACATTATTCAAAAATACCTCTGTTGTTTTAACATATAGTACAGTGTTCCAACCCTTGGCTGTCAGATGTCAGCCTGAGGTACATCAGTGTGGGAACTATCCATAAGGATCCCTTTTGTGAGAGCTCTCACTATTACTGATATCGGTAAACACTGATATTGTCCATTAGGCTGTTAAACATATTGGTATTGTCCATTTCTGATGTGCTGTCTAATATGGTTCCCCACCCATGTTTGGTTATTTAAATTAAAATGAATTAAAATTTAGTTCCTCAATACCTCTGACTATATTTCAAGTGCTTAATTGCCACATGTGGTCAGAGGTTGCCATAATGAACAACACAAATACAGAATATTTCCATCAACACAAAGTTCTGTTGGACAGTGTCAGTATAAAAAATTATTCATAGAAAATGCTGGATAAGAGCTATGTAAGAGAGTCTTACTTCTCTTCAAAGATATTTATCTTACAAGATTTTCAACTTGTTTGGATGTAGGAAAGCCACAGATTCTATAGCTTATTCTGGCTTGACTTTCTGAGCAGCCTTCTGATTAAAATTATCTGTACCCAGCATCAACAAATCTGTCTCTGAACTATTTGGTAAAGAGCAGAAAGTGTGGGTCTGACTGATTCCACCTTCAGAGCTTTGGGAAAGGTAATTCAAAGTAACCCACTGATAGTTTATCTCTTCTTTTGTTAGGCTTCCAGACAATTCCAGTCAATTCTGCAAGAAAGACAGTCTCTTCCTGCTTGGGAAGAAAGAGACACCATTCTTAAATTGTTGAGCAAGCACCAAGTGCTTGTTGTAAGTGGTATGACAGGGTAAGATGTAATTCATTTGTAATGCAGCTTTCTGGTTACCATAAAAAAACAACAGCTGGTTTTATTTGTGCATTTTCTTGCCAATATTAAATAATATTTCACAGAGGCTAATATTGCAACACTATAGCCAATAGAGCCAAATTACAGAAAGCAAAACCAAAACTCAGAAATGATGTTAAACTTGTTATTTGATTGCCCTGTAAATCTGAGTGCAAACACCTATGAGTTATACAATAGTAAATTTGTATCTTCCAACATAGTAAATTTGTATCTTCCAATTTCTCTTTAAACTCGGTCACTTACAGCTAAATCAGTATAAATAAAGGGAAAAATTACAAAGTATTTTAATGCTCACTAGATTAATACCCTGATCTTTATAATTCATATATGGAGTTCACATTCCTAAAGACACTTGTGGACCTTAATATCCAGTAATTCCAGTTTTATGATATTAAGTGTTATGATACCAAATGATGCTAACCTATTATTTGATTGCCCTGTTAATCTCACTGCAAATACCTATGAGTTATAAGCTCAGTAGACAGGTTTAGAAGGTAGGTGGTAGGTGGACAACTTTTACTCCCACTGTCCCACCTTCCCCATTACATATGATTGCCTCTTTAGGAAACTTAGTACTTGAAAACTCTCATTTTAGGACCTATTTGTTTTGACACACAGATGTGGGAAAACCACACAGATTCCTCAGTTTATTCTGGATGACTCTCTGAATGGACCACCTGAGAAAGTAGCTAACATTATCTGTACCCAACCCCGACGAATTTCTGCAATCTCTGTGGCGGAACGTGTTGCTAAGGAGAGAGCAGAAAGAGTGGGTCTGACTGTGGGATACCAGATCCGGTTAGAAAGTGTCAAGGTTAGTATGCCTTATTTTCTCAGGGCAAGAGAAAACACAGTTTTCAAGTATGAGGAGTTCTTGGGAACTGGAGATTGATGGGTAATTTGGAATATATTAATTAAATTAATCATTTAAAATTTAAATTAATGACCTCTTTCAGTATGTAAGAACTTATTACACTTACTGTCTTCTATGGAAGCAGAAGTGGTCTAGTAAATGCTGTTTTGTTCTTAAGCCTAGAACTTAAATAGGTTATGGAGTAAGTAATAGACAAATTCGGAACTGACTTCATCGTTCACTGTTGTTTTTTTGTTTTGTAGTCATTCCTGAGCACTTTCTGTAAAATTTTTACAAAATTTTGATCTGAAGTAGAAAAGCTTTTATTGCTGCCATCGGCAAAAAAACAACATTTAGCGTGGTTTCACTATTAAATGGAATTGATGGTGTTTTCAATATTCTTTGTCCCAATCCATTCAAAATGGCTTGCCAGGAAAGTGTTTCCTTTTCAAGAATTTCATGAATGCTTTCTGTGTAAGTCCTCAGCCACCAGACTCTTATACTGCACCACAGGAGTGCTGCTGCGGAGGCTGGAAGGAGACACAGCTCTGCAGGGAGTCACCCACATCATTATTGATGAAGTTCATGAGAGGACAGAGGAGAGGTAAAACAGCTTCTCCAATGGCTACCCACACACATAAGAGGAAGATGTGGCTGAGAGCACTGTATTCTACTTCAGTTGAGTTTCGTAGAGCTTGTAGCGGTCATTTGCCATGGAACAAGCCTCAGTTAGAAAGGAGGAATTGCTCTCCCGGTCTTCAGGGTCTGTGGCACTAAGAATGTTAAGAGAGCACCAGTTGGGCATCCTCTGCTCAGAGATACCTAGCATCCTCCTGGGCAACAAATGTAGCAGGTATAATACTTAGCAGGAAAAACATGTCATATATGCTTTAACTGATAAATTGGTCAGCATGTGTTTCTTTGTTCAGCCATGATAAGTAAACAAACAATTCAAAATAAGTTTAGAGTAAGTTTATAAAGGAATAGATAGGATGAGAAGAGAGACCTATAACGTAACGAGGAAATATAGAGATGACATTTTTAAAACTGCAGTACGTGCAGGAGTCTCATGTGACAGAGAGGGTGAGGCTTCCATAAAGATTCTAGTGGCAGGAGGACCAGACGGCTGGCTGTGGTCGGTGAGGGCAAGCTGTAGCAGGACAAACAGGGGCCGCAACTTCCAGGACCTTACACACAAGGAGGAATAAAGTGTTTGGTCTTCATTTTAATGGAATCAGGGTTGAAGCAGAATGTAAGAATTCTCAGCATTGAAAGGAAGGGCCAGGTAAATTAGTGGCATTAAATAGTTCCTCCAGAGCAGCAAAAGAAAAAGAAAACTAGTGGGGAAAAGAAAAGATCCCATAAAAATCAGATTTTCTAAAAGAAAAAGACTTTACTGCTATACATATTTTCAAAAGGGACTTCCCTGAGGGCACAGTGGGTTAGGTCTTAGCACTATGAAGCTCTCTGGAGTCACTGTAGCATGAGTTTGAACCCCTGCCAGCGAGCTGACCCACATGGTGCAGCAGACCTCTCCTGTCTTGCCCGCTGCTCCCCTCAGCAGTGTATTTCAGTCACTCTCCCTGTTCTGCTCCCCACTCTGTCCCTGGTGAATCCTCTCACCCCCTGCACCTCTGGCCTGCATGCCAGTTCTTATATGCATAAATATATAAAAATATATCTTTAAAATATCAAAGAAATATCAAGCAGATGGTTTTTGTCTCCTATAAAATTCCTAATTACATGTTACAATTTTGATTTGTTTTCTTCTGGGAGTGGTTGTGAGTTTAGGACAATTTATGGAGAGCGATTCCACAAACAATAGTGAGACTATATAGTTTGTATTGCTTTTCATCTCATAGTTAACATGATAGCATGAACTATCTTCGAAATTATTAATAATTGCATGAAGGATTTCTAATATATATTTCTAATATATACTTAACT